AGCCATAGCCACAGCCTCTCAGAGTGCCTAAGGAATTTTTAATGCAGGAGTCTGTGACCTATAACATTAGCATAGTAGTGTGTAGTGTAGGTGTCAGTTTCAAAGTTGACGGGCAGTACTTGATTACAGAGGACAGTCTTTTTTTTAAAAAAAAAGATTTATTTATTTATTATGTATACAGAGTTCTGTCTGCATTTATTCATGCAGGCCAGAAGAAGACCCCATGTCTCATTATTAATGGTTGTGAGCCACCATGTGGGTGCTGGGAATTGAACTCAGGACCTCTGGAAGAGCAATCAGCGCTCTTAACCTCTGAGCCTTTGCTCCAGCCCACAGAGGACAGTCTTATCATAGCATCTTTACTCTGTGGATTTATTTAGGAAGTCTGTTATTGTTTTGGGAAATAATGATTGATATAAATGCTTAAAATACATACATATAGAATTTTCATTCTTATTTTGGATTATCAGCTTGAATGTATTGCTCCTCAAAAAAAAAAAGTTTTGCTGGAGGCTAAAGCAAAAGAATCATAAATTTGAGGTCAGCCTAAACTACTATATAGCAAGACTCTATCACTAAGCTTTGAAACAACACTGATTATTAACTTATGTTAATTGTTTGTCTTACTCAGTTAAAGACACATGAGTTATTAGGTATTTGGGGGGCTTATTTGAACCCATTTTCATTTTTCTTTCTGTTGGGGAGGATTTTTTTTTTTGGAGAGATGTCTTGTTTTTCTTTGTTGTTTAGTTTTTTGCCCCTAAGAATGTAACCAAGGGCTTTTGTGTGTCACCCAAGCTTGGTATCACAGAGCTATGTCTTCAGCCATGGTCCCTTTAGAAAATTTTTATCCTGAGAAAGAATCTTGCTAAGTTGCCTAGGCTGGCCTGAAATTTGTAATTCTCCTTCCTTAGTGACTTGGATTACGGGTATGCCACCACACTTGGCAGTCAATTTTTATGTCCTTTTGTTTTTTAGATCAATTTATTTCCAAAAAAAAAATTTGTTATTGTAACAACTTTCTATCCCCACTTCAGTTCCTTCCCTCTTTGGTATTCTTGTCTGCCTCAAACCCTATGTCTCTTTTGGGGTGTTCATAACCTCTTCAAGATGACAGTTTTGCACTTGCTGAGTGTCAGGACCAAGAATAGATGGTGAGTCAGACATAGGCCCCCTCCCTGCTACAAACTCACAGAACTGGTGGATTCCCTGGGTCGCTTTTGGGTGTTGCTTTCAAGGTCTTATTAGCTCATTTTTCTTTACTTTGTGGCCATTGCCTTCTGCCTCTCGGAACTTCTTATACTTGTTTCCCTGCATGTTTGTCTATAGGAGTATCATATACATGCCTGGTGCCTACAGAGGTCAGAAGAAGTTGTCAGATCTCCAAGAACAACTGTTACAGTTGGTTGTGAGCCACCAAGTGTGTGCTGGGAACCAGGACTTTTGGAAGAATAGCCAGTGCTCTCAACCGCTGAGTCAGCTCTCCAGCCCCATTTTTTTTTTTTTTACATTTCTTGATGTGTATAATATTGGAAGAATGCAGCTGTCTTGTCTCTAGTGATTACTGTTTCTCCCTTCCAAGTTGTTTTATTTATACATACTTTCCCTCTTTCTTTGATCAGTTCTTAGTTGCCTTTTCCTTACTCAGTTGGGGGAATTACTTGCTTTAAATTTATGATTTTCTTACTGCTTGTTTAGGTTTTTTTGTAGTGATGAAGTTAGAACATAGAGCTTTGATATATTGTGCAGACACCTTTATACTGACCCACATATGAAGCTCAGAGCACTGCACAAAGATTGTCTTGCATCTCTCTCTCTCTCTTACACACACACACAAATAAATAAATGAAAAATTTATTATTAGTACCCTTTTTCCTGGGAGTCTAGTTTGTACATTCGATTAAGATTTTTGCTAACTCCTCCACAAACAAGATAGCTGGCATTTCTGGAAGGGATTGCCTGCTTCTGCTTTAGTTATTTCCCTGCGCTCATCCCAGAGGTTTGTACCTCACAAAACACTTTGTGGTTGCTATCACGTGAGCACAAGGACACTGAAGTCACTACCCAGTGACAGCGGCTCAGAGAGTCTGTTCAGATTAGAGAGATTTTCCTTTAATCTTTTTAAATCATCCCTAAAAGAACCTCTGGGAACACTATAAGACTGAAGCCCTAATACGACCCATCTTTAAACCTACCTTTTTTGTACAGATCCTTCTTGTTTGGTAAATTATGAAAGGAAAACATATGCTTATGGTAGAGAAGCCTTAAGGAAATTACAATCACTCATAATCTCTATGCAGAGATAGATGGTGGTTAATGTTTGGTATTTTACTTCTAATCTTTGTTTTGGGTGTTTTTGTTTTTGTTTGTCTGTTTTGAGGCAAAACCTTATAGTATAACCAGGCTGGGATAGATCTCACAATGTAGTTCAAACTGGCCTTGAGCTTTCAGAAATCCTGCCTCAGTCTCTAAAGAATAGAACAATAGGCATGAGCCTGGCTTAATTTTTTAAAAATTGTCTTGCTTACTGTATAAATCAAAGAACTCACTTGCTAGTCACTTACGTCTTACTGAAACCATCTACTTTAGTCTGTACAAGGACTCTTCTTTTGGTCTTTCATAGTCTTACTGGAAATTAAATGCAGTGGCTTCTCTGAAGAAGTTCTTATCTGCATCTTGTGGGACTAGTAGGAGGCATACAACACCCTGATGTCCTTTTGCTTATAGCAGCTGCCTTCCTTGGAAAATGCTATCCTAGCTCATCTGCATGGTTGTCATCACTGTCTTTCCGTGCTGTAACTGTATCAGTTTTTAAAATTATTTCTTCAGTTTTGAGTCAAGAATGATGCCCAGACTAGCCTTCTCTTTCCTTGTTTGTTATTTGTGGTATCTGTACTTTCTCAGTGGTTGTTGATCTATTGTGACTTTACTGTATACATCTTAGAAAACCCAAGGCTATTTATCTAGAACCTTACTCATTCAAAAGGTCATTAGATAGCATTATACAGGCATTTCTGCAGTAGTGGAAGTGTTGTGTATATGTGCCCAGTAACATGGGCACTAGATATGGCTAATGCAGCTGAGAAACTTGATTTAAAAAAAAAAACTTAAAATCTAATAGCAAGGTGTATTGTATACACCTGTATTCTCAGCACTCAGGAGGTAAGAGGATGTGAGTTCAAGGCAAGTCTGGACTACATAGAGATCCTGTTTCACAAAACAAAATTTAAAACAATGCAAAAAAAAGTTACATACATGCATGCACAACTTGAATTGTTCATGTGACTGATGGCTGTCATATTGGATTGCACTGATCCAGATTACCCCAGCTGGTTCTACTAGCTCCTCTCCTGGGCAGGGTAGTTTGTTTCTTTTGGTATATGTACCCATAGGCTATGCCTCAACCTCTGTTCTGTTTTGCTAGCTAGGAAGAATGGTATTTTCTAGTGCTGGGAATCAAACCCAGGGCCTTGAACATACTAAGGCAGTGCTCTAGTGCCGAGCTGTGCCTCTGGCTCAGAGAAGAACTGTTCCTAAAATGGGCTTCTTGAGCAGTTGGGCATCTGGAAAGGCAGTGTTGAGAAAGGCTCTTATTTGCAGCTCCACACCTTCTGGAAGCTGTTGGGGAGATGAATACATGTACTATTATATAACTAGCTAATGGAGCTTTTCAGGGAGGGGCTTATATTGCATTATGACAAATCAAATCAGAAGGGTTTTTCTTTTTCTAACTACATCCCGTTCCCTTTTTTGTACTCTTATGTTGTACTTTTTCAACTTCGGCAGTTTAAACACTTCAGACATGCTCAGAATGATTCCATTGGTTCCTCGAGCATTACTGTCATATAATCCCTTTTTAGGAACTTGGTGAATTTCATTTTGAGCTTTTAAATGATCCAGTGATTTTTTCCTCTTTTTTTCTTATCAGCAATTTCATAGGATATAATTAATATGTTAGCATATTAAAAACTGTTTCATTTTTTTCCTCCAGTAACATTGCTTTTTAGAAAAATTTCATTGATTTTTATTTATGTCTATGTGTGTGAACCTGTCTATATATGTGCAATGCCCACAGAAGCCAGAAGGCTTTGGATCTCTTGGAACTGGAGTTACAGGTAGTTGTGAGCCACCTAACCTGGATCTTCTGCAAGACAGCAGGTGCTCTGAACAGCTGAGGCATCTCTCCAACCCCCAACATTGCTTTTCTTTTTAAATTAAGATTTATTTCTATTCATATGCATGTGTGTGGATATGTGCACAAGTGTGGGATGCCTGCAGAGGCCAGGGTTTTTGGATTCCCTAGAGCTGGAGTTATAGGTAGTTGTGAGCTGTCCCACATGAGTGCCAGAACTGAACTCATGTCCTCTGCAAGAGCAGTGTGCATTCTTTTGGTTTGTTGAGACAGGGTTTCTTTGTGTAGCCCTAGCTGTTCTGGAACTCGCTCTATAGACTAGGCTTGTCTCAAACTCAGAGGTCCACTTGCCTCTACCCTCCAAGTACTGGGATTAAAGGCATGCCTGGTACAGTATGCTTTGTTAACTGGTGAGCCATCTTCCCAACATTGCTTTTCTTAAAGAAGTACTCTAAGTTTAGTTTTGAAATCTTCATTTCTTGACCTTATCTTTCTAGATCTGGGAACCTTTTTTTCTATTCTCCTCCAGTGCCTTTTTTTCAAGGTACTTCCCATGTGTGTTGAGGATGACCTTTAGACTGTGGTTCATGTTTCACCCTCTTTCTATGCATCCTTACTGCTTTCTTTCCACATACAGCAAAATACGACAGGATTTGCTGGATAGCTAGGCTTTAACTCATGTTAATCTCACCTCTGAATATGGAGCCTGCAGTAGCATTGCAAACACCCACCCTCTCTCCAAAGCCTTTCAGTGGGAATCATTTTAGTTTGTGAGAGCCAGGAATCTGCACGTGCGCTGCTTTCACTGTGAGCTAAATTTACTGCACATTTGGGGAAACTGACTGTGTTTTCTGCCTTCCATTGACAGAATGGCACACGAAACTTCCAGGACTTTGACTGCCAGGTAAGGACTGTACAAGCACCAGAGAGGCTCTGTACAGGGTCCCTACAATGCCTCCCTCCCTGTGCCAGTGGTCTTAGAGAAGTAGATCTTGTATTGTTGTTGTTTGTATTTTGTTTTCTTTTGTTGAAGCAGGGACTGTAGCTGAGGCTGGCCTTGAACTCATGACAGTGCCTCTTGCTTCAGCCTCCCAAGGTCTGGGTTTACAGGTGTGAGCCACCACACCTAGCTAGAAGTGTGCGCATCATAGCATCATACTAATCGTGACTTACTAGTGTTCTCTTAGTCATTGGATCAAGTTTATTTTAAATGATTTGCTACTATGTTCAAAAAGTGCCTTCTGGGAACCTGCCTAATGACTGTAGGTTACTTGGTTGAGCTGTCTCTTTGTGACTGAGATCTTTTCTCAAATAATGTCAGAGACCTCATTTGTCACCAGTGATAGAAGGTTGTCACCAGACTGCAGATAAAGTAGGTGATGGGCAGTTTGGAGAAGAGTCATCATAATAGTAAAATTGTTACCTAAACCAAAAAGCAGATTATTATTAATACAAAATGAAAATTTTTCTTGGCTTTATGTTTGGAAATGCAAAATTTATCCAGACTCAGTATTTTTCTACATGGTACTGTTCTTCATAATCTACTATTGCCAATTTGAAAACCAATAAAATGAGCCAGCCACTCCTATCCACCTACTTTAATCTGTTAACTAGCCTGGAAAGCAATCTAAGAAAGGAACACACATGGATATATAGGGAACCTGATAAGCCCACACAGCCTGGCTGTCTCACTCTGGGATTTGTTGCCATTGCAACAACATGAAGTCAACTCAGAGGGTACTAGCAGCAAGGATGGCACTTCAAACCATACTCCTCCTTTCCAGTACCCAGCCATCCTTCATATCCATCAACAAAGAGTTATTTCCAATATGTGCTTTATGTTAAGTACAGCCCTTATAGCATTAACATCAAAAGGAAAAAAAACAGTCTATTCAGCCCTTGTATGGAGAAATTTAAAAAACATAGCTTTTGCATCAGCAAATCAGGTCTGTCATAATTATTAGTCCCTATGATAGAGTATCTATTAGACAAATGTGATCTTTGAAATGTATGATTTAGAGAACCAAAACAATAAGATGGTTATTCTTGTTCCTATTTTCTGGGTGAAACTGAAAAATTGGCTCCTCCTAAATCCATTACTTATTTTTCCTCAGGTAAGTTCAGAACTGACAACTTATCCTTAAAGCTGAGGTTATTTGGCAGGTCGGATGAGGCTTGCTGTGCAAGGGAAGGTTGGTAGCACTGTCCTTGAGCCCTGGTTCCCGCTGGTTCTTTGTGTGTATGATAGAACCAGCCTAGTGGGCACAGGCATCATTTTTACTCAAATTTAAAAAGTCTTTAGCGCTTTTGATACTTTGTGACAATAGGGTCAGTAAAAATTGAGTTTAGATTTTTATTTAATCTGACTTTAGTTATGGTTTGGGTTCTAGCTTAGTTAGTTAGAGTTGATTGCTTTTGATACAATTTACCTAGAAGGATATCATTGAGAAAGAGTGATGGGGGACTCAGTGCAATGCATTTCAGAAATAGTATGTGTACACTCCTGTCTGAAAGCATGGAAGCACTTGCCTTCATCAGATACCAAAGTTGGTAAATTTAAACCGTCTGTTTCTTCTGCTTTACTGGTGTGTTTGTGTGTGATGCTTGCATGTGTGCGCACATGTGCATGTGCGTGCACGAGCACTCCTTTACCCCAGAGCTGGGGATGGAACCCAGGGCTTTGCTCATTGTTGGCAACTACTGTTTTCATATGTAAGTATAAATATAAATTTAAGTGTGATTAATTTCAAGATTGTCTTAGGATTTCTATTGCTGTGAAGAGACACCATGACCAGGGCAACTCTTATAAAGGAAGAAAATTTAATTGGGGCAGCTTACATTTGCAGAGGTTTAGTCTCACTGGAAGTAGCTTGAGCAAATATAAGACCTCAGGGCCTCCTCCACAGTGATATATTTCCTTCAGCAAGGCCACACCTACTCCAATAAGACACTATCTCCTAATAGTGCCACTCCCTTTGGTAACTATTTTCTTTCAAACTACCACATTCCACTCCCTGGCGCCCAAAGACTTGAAGCCATATCATAATGCAAAAATGCATTCAGTCCAACTTCAAAAGTCCCCATAGTCTATGACAGTCTCAAACATATTTAAATTCTAAAGATCAAAGTCTCTTCTGAGATTCATGTTGTCTCTTAACTGTGATCTCCTATTAAATCAAAATCAAAAAGCAGGTCATATACTTCCAATATGTAATGGCACAGGATGTACATTACCATTCCAAAATGTAGGAAAGAGAGCATAGTGAGGGAATACTGGGCCAAAGCAAGACTGAAAAGCAGCTGGGCAAACTCCAAACTCTGCATCTCCATGTCTAACACTCTTCGGATCTTCAGCTCTGTTCGGCTTTGTTAACTGTAACACACTTCTCTCTCTTGGGCTGGTTCTACTCCCTTGTAGCAGCTTTCCTTGGCACATATCCCATGACTCTGGCATCTCCAACATCTCCAAGACAATTCAGGCTTCAACTTCACAGACTGATGCAATGGCCTCTTGAGGCCTCCACACGTTTGGCCTCAGCGGCTTTCCTTAGTCGAGAAAGAAAGTTCCATAATGCCTTTCTTCTATCCTTGACTCTAAAGCCAGAACCATGTAGCCAAAGCTGCCAACTTCTGGTGCTTATTGGGACTGAAACATGGCCTTCTCATTCAATTACATCTTCAACAGCTTTCTGTCCTTCCCTGCATAAGTTTGGCTGTCCTGAAATGGATCTGTAGACCAGGTTGTCCTCCAACTCAGAGATCCACCAGCCTTTGCCTTCCCAGCACTGGGTTTAAAGGTGTATACCACCAGACCGGGTTCTAAGCTTTTCACAAGATGGAAATTTAGCTGGTTGAGATTTTGCCCTGAGATCATCACTCCCTTTATTCTATTTCTTAATCTGTTTATCTGCTTGAGTACAGGATTTAGCTCCATTCCACTTCCTGGTGTTCCCTTTCTCCTCAAATATTTTTCCTTGCTCCTTTTCATTATAAGTCTTCATTGGAGTTAACACTAGTAACTGCACAACAGAGCCCATCCTAGGACTAGTCTGTTTTGAGATTTCCTCTGCCGAGGAATTAATCTAAAACTCTTAACTTTCGCCTCCGGCAAGGGCAAAAAGCAATCACATTCTTCACCAAAATATCACAAGCACGATTTCTAGGCAACATACTAAAATTCTTCTCCTCTGAAACCTCTTGAGCAGCCCCCAACAGTTCAAATCACTGTCTTCCATGTTCCTACTGGTATAACCCATGAAGCAGTGCTTGAAGCATTCCACTGCTTCCCAACTCAAACTCCCAAAGTCCAAATTCCTTCAAGCTAAAGTATAGTTAGGCCTTTCACAATAATAACTCCCTCCTGGTACCAACTTCTGTCTTAGTTAGGATTTCTACTGATATGAAGAGACACCATAACCAGGGCAACTCTTATAAAAGAAAAACATTTAATCAGGGTGGCTTACATTTGCATAGGTTTACTCTATTATTACCATAGTGGGATATGGTGGCATGCAGGCAAACACGGTGCTGGAGAAGTAGCTGAGTGTCCTATATCTTGACTTGCAGGCAACAGGAAGAGACCTGTCTCACTGGTAGTAGCTTGAGCATATATGAGAGCTCAAAGCCCACCTCTAAAGTAACACACTTCTTCTATTAAGGCCACACCTCCTAATGGTGCCACTCCCTTTTCGAGCCATTTTCTTTCAAACCACCACAAATATTAAGGCTTAAAAATAGTCTAGCAGGAGCCAGTAAAATGGCCCAGTGTTCAAAGCCACTTTCAGCACAAGCCTGATAGCCTGAGTTCAATCTCTGGAACCTGCATAAGGTGCAGGGAGAGATCAACACCATAAAGCTGTCCTCTGACCTTTGAATGTATTTTGTGGTACACAAGACCCATACAATAATACCCTAGCAAAGGGCCAGTGAGGTGGTTCAGTGGGAAAAGGTGCTTACTGCCTGATAACTTGAGTTCAACCACTCCCCGCCCCCTGAGACAGGGTTCCTCTGTAGCTTTGGAGCCTGTCCTGGAACTAGCTCTTGTAGACCAGGCTGGCCTCGAACTCACAGAGATCCACCTGCCTCTGCCTCCTGAGTGCTGGGATTAAAGGCGTGCGCCACCACCGCCTGGCAGTTATTATTATTTTATGTAGGAGCTACTGCTCTAACTCAGTGGTAGAGCTCTTGCCTGGCATGTATGAAGCCCTGGGTTCAGTCCTCAGCCCTGAAAATCAACCACAAAAGGCTATATCTCTGCTTTTCTTTTTATTATGAAGTCCTGTACTGTTGTGCTATAGTTTGCCTGTCTTTGGAGCCTTCATATAAAATATTTTCTTTTTGAATGTATCTGAATGATAATAAAGCTTAAACCTTATTTTACCAATGTAGAAATACAGTGGTTTTGATTTTTTCCTTCTGTTGCTGCCAAAAGTAACTCATCTTGCATAAAAAATAGCCTCCCTAAAAGTTATGATACTTCGAGTGAAGCTTTAATGTCTTCTGGCACTGTAAAATTTAATGTTTGTTGAGATCTGATAGAAATAGAATGATGACATGTGTTTGTTAAGGTCATATGATTGACAATAGTTTTGGATATATGGAATTTCTGTGTTATAAAGAAAAACTGACTAGGGATATAGTTTAATGGTAGAGTGATTGCCTAGCATATACAAGACCCTAGGTCCAATCTTCAGTTTCCAACACACACACACACACACACACACACACACACACACACACACAGACATACACGAACAAAAAGACCTGAAGCATAGGAACTATGATGTGAGAAGTCAAAAATGGCCCAGCTTGCGTGAGGCTTCTGTCTTAGTTTGTTTTCTATTACTGTGATAAATGACGTGACCAAGAGCAACTTGGGGAGGAAAAGGTTTATTTCATCTTACA